ATTACAGGCACCTGCCACCATGTCTGGCTAATTTTTTGTAGTTTTAGTAGACGGATTTCACCATGTTCAAGTGATTCTCCTGCCTCAACCTCCTGAGTAGCTGGGACTACAGGCACATGCCACCAGGCCTGGCTAATTCTTTGTATTTTTAGTAAAGACAGAGTTTAGCTGTGTGAGCCAGGATTGTCTCCATCTCCTGACCTTGTGATCTGTCTGCTTTGGCCTTCCAAAGTGCTGAGATTACAGGCGTGAACCACCGTGCCCGGCCAAACTTTTTATATTTTTCGTAGAGATGGGGTTTTGCTATGTTGGCCAGGCTGGTCTCAAATTCCTGGCCTCAAGTGATCCACCTGCCTTGGTCTCCCATAGTGCTGGGATTACAGGAGTGAGCCACCACGCCTGGCCTCAAGTGAATTTATTTTTTTGAGACAGGGTCTTGCTGTGTCTTTGACGCTGGAGTTCAGTGGCACCATCATGGCTCCCTGTAGCCTCATGTCTCTGGGCTCAAACAGTCCTCCTGCCTCAGCCTCCTGAGTAGCTGGGACTGCAGGCATGAGCCACCACGCCTGGCCTGATTTTTTTTTTTTTTTTTTTTTTTTGAGATGGAGTCTAGCTCTGTTGCCCAGGCTGGAGTGCAGTGGTGCGATCTCGGCTCACTACAAGCTCCGCCTCCTGGGTTCACGCCATTCTCCTGCCTCAGCCTCCCCAGTAGCTGGGACTACAGGCGCCCACCACTGCGCCCGGCTAATTTTTTTTGTATTTTTAGTAGAGACGGGGTTTCACCGTGTTAACCAGGATGGTCTCGATCTCCTGACCTCGTGATCTGCCCGCCTCGGCCTCCCAAAGTGCTGGGATTACAGGTGTGAGCCACCACGTCCGGCCCTGATTTTTTCATTTTTAGTAGAAAGGTTTCACCATGTTGCCCAGGCTGGTCTTGGACTCCTGAGCTCAAGCAGTCTGCCTGCCGTGGCCTCCCAGAATGCTGGGATTACAGGTACGAGCCACTGTGCCCGGCCCAAATGTATTTCTTGATACGCTGCTGTGGAAGCAGTAGCTGGCAAGCTTGTGACATAGGGTGGTGAGTGGATCGCAGTGCATTCAGGGGTCCCAGAGCATAGCGCTCTGCACAGCCATGGTCGGTTCACCTGCCGTTCTCACCCCATCCTGCGTTCGGAGCTGCTGTCCACACGTGTGGCACGCTTGGGTGTTCTTGTCACCCACGTGCACGATGCTCCCTCCAGACGGGCATACCACAGCCGCTGCCTGGCCCTGCAGCACTGGTTCTTCCTTTCTTGGCCGAGGTGCCGCTGCCGAGGCTGTTGGCATCTGGGTCAGCGCCCTGGGCAGTCGCTGTGCTGAGCTGCAGCTCTGTCCTCCCTGGAGTGAGGCTCCCGGGAGCTCCACCAGCGCTGCCAAGGCTGTCTCATCCCTGCCACGCACCAGGACCACAGAGACCGGAGCCTCCTGTGGCGGTGCTTTGTGTTTTGCCATGGAAACGGATTGACCCAGCTCTAACCTGACCTTTGATGCCTCTGCCCTCCCCTCTGATGTGGGGAGTCTTCTGTGTCTGTGGCAGGGGCACGGCTGTCGGGTTCTGCATGTTCCTGTGTGTCCCATCCCCCCTGTGGGTGTGTCTGTCGGGGCAGCAGCACTTGGCGTGCTCTGGGAGGAGTCATAGGTGCAGGGAAGATGATGTGGCCTTCCGGGGAAGGACCAAGGCTTCCACGGAGCAAGGAACACCTTCAGGAGACTTGATGTCAAGGAAGTCTCTGCTACCAGCCACGGTTTGCAAAGGAGAGGCTGAGGGCGGTGGTTGGGGGTGCGTGGGGCTGGCGCCGGCAGCAGGTAACCCAAGATGGTGCTGGGCTAGCCATGGCTCTTGTTCTGATGGCCCAGTGCCTGTGGCCAGCATGCTGCACCCGACATGGCTTTTCTTCAGGCCGTGGTGGGACAGTGTGTGGTCCCTGGTGCCAGCCACACCGGCATGGCAGTGCCTGTGGGTACCCTTTCATGTCCCCCATGACTCCGAGAGGGGCCTGGGCCTCATAGCAGGGCAGTGTGGCCCTGGCCTCTCTGGGCTCTCCTGTGGGATGGGCAGCTGGGGGCAGCTGCGCTCATTCTAACTCCCCGGGATGCTCTGGTCCCACTAAGGCCCCTAAGGAGTGAAAGGAGAAAATGTTGGTAAAGAAAGCTGTACCGAGCTGTGTTTGGGGCGTTTCCTGGTATGTCCTGGCACCTCGGGGCCCTGGGTGGTTTATCCCAAGAGCAGCCACGTCATATGGGTGTGGGTGGGCGGCGAGGGCTCGTGGGGACCCCTGAGTGGTCCCAATCTGCCTTGTGCTCAGCTTCGCTTTTTGCTGATGGTGAATCTCAGACCGGCTCCTCTCCCTGGGGCTGCACGACCTCCTCATTTCTCTTCAGAGGCCCTGGCCGCTGATCCGTGGTCTCCGTGGCCACCTCACGTCCCCCAAACCTGCTGAGTTCTCACCACTGACATAGCCTGGTGGTCCCCAGGAGGATCCCTGCCGGGGACAGTCCGTGGTGACCACTGGCTCCATCCTCCTCATTTCTCTCTTCAGAGGCCCTGGCCGCTGATTCGTGGTCTCCCCGTGGCCACCTCACGTCCCCAAACCTGCTGAGTTCTCACCACTGACATAGCCTGGTGGTCCCCAGGAGGATCCCTGCCGGGGACAGCCCCAGGTGACCACTGACTCGGATGGGGCTCCTTACCTCCCGGCACAGCCCGTAGTGACCACTGGTCTCTGGATGGGTCTTTATCCTCCCGGGACAAGTCCGCAGTGACCACTGGTCTCGGATGGGCTCCTACTCCTCCCGGTGACAGCCGTAGTGACCACTGGTCTCTGGATGTAGTCTTTATCCTCCGGGACAGTCCGTAGTGACCACCGGTCTCTGGATGGGCCCTACTCCCTCCCGGTGACAGCCGTAGTGACCACTGGTCTCTGGATGGGGTCTTTACCCTCCCGGCGACAGTCCATAGTGACCACTGGTCTCTGGATGGGGTCTTTACCCTCCGTTTTTCAGTAGACAGTTCAGCTGCATTGTTAGGAGAATGTCACGCTGCCAGCGCCCTTCAGACGGGGCCTGCTCCAGTGCATCCGACAGAGACGGAGTCTGGCTGTGTCCCCACGCTGGAGTGCAGTGGCATGGTCTCGGCTCACTGCTAGCGCTGCCTCCCAGGTTCACGCCATTCTTCCTCGTCACCCTCCTGAGTAGCTGGGACTACAGGCGCCCGCCACCACGCTGGCTAATTTTTTTTTTTTTTTGTATGTTTAGTAGAGACAGGGTTTCACCATGTTAGCCAGGATGGTCTCAATCTCCTGATCTCACAATCCACTGGCCTCGGCCTCCCAAAGCACTGGGATTACAGGCATGAGCCAGCGCGCCCGGCCACACCTGGCCAATCTTTTGTATTTTTAGTAGAGACGGGTTTCAACATGTTAGCCAGGATGGTCTTGATCTCCTGACTTCATGAGCCACTGTGTCCGGCCGACAACTTTTTTTTTTTTAAAGGTTGTCTTCCAAAGCTGAATTTCCTGGTAAAACAACCACTGTATTACTTTTTTTTTTTTTTTTTTTTTGAGACGGAGTCTCACTCTGTCACCCAGGCTGGAGTGCAGTGGCCAGATCTCAGCTCACTGCAAGCTCTGCCTCCCGGGTTTACGTCATTCTTCTGCCTTAGCCTCCCGAGTAGCTGGGACTACAGGCGCCCGCCACCTCGCCCAGCTAGTTTTTTGTATTTTTTAGTAGAGACGGGGTTTCACCGTGTCAGCCAGGATGGTTTCGATCTCCTGACCTCGTGATCCGCCCGTCTCGGCCTCCCAAAGTGCTGGGATTACAGGCTTGAGCCACCACGCCCGGCCACTATTTTTTAATAATAACTAAATAACTGGAACGTTCTGGGGTAGAGATAAGAAATCTCTTATGTTCTTTCTGCTGAGGGGGCACAGAGAGGCCGAGCCGGAGACCCTTCTCAGCTGACAGCAGTGCTGAGGGTGAGGCTGCAGTTACAGATCCAGGGTTTCTGTCCAGAGTGAAGCTGCAGACCCCACGGGGCCATAGTGCAAAGATCGGCTTTCCTCCAACTAGAGTGTTTCGGGTTTAGTCTGGTTTTGTGTTGGAGAATAATTCACAATTTAAGAACTTTTTCTTGAAAACTTTAAAAAGTAAGTTTTTTTTGTTTTGGTTTGGTTTTTTGTTTTTTTTTTTTTTGAGACAGAGTCTTACTCTGTCGCCCAGGCTTGAGTGTAGTGGTGCGATCTTGGCTCACTGCAAACTCCGCCTCCCAGGTTCACACCATTCTCCTGCCTCGGCCTCCCGAGTAGCTGGGACTACAGGTGCCCGCCACCATGCCCGGCTAATTTTTTGTATTTTTCTTAGTAGAGACGGGGTTTCACCGTGTTAGCCAGGATGGTCTCGATCTCCTGACGAGTTTTGCTCTTGTCACCCAGGCTGGAGTGCAGTGGCGCGATCTCGACTCACTGCAGCCTCCACCTCCTGGGTTCAAACGATTCTCCTGCTTCAGCCTCCCAAGTAGCTGGGATTACAGGCATTAACTACCATTTCTGGCTAAGTTTCGTATTTTTAGTAGAGACGGGGTTTCGCCATATTGACCAGGCTGTTCTCAAACTCCTGACCTCAAGTGATCCACCCGCCTCGGCCTCCCAAAGTGCTGGGATTACAGGAGTGAGCCTCCGCGCCCGACCAGTCCACCATTTTTGTTACCTCCAAGTCTACTAAGCCTCAGTCTGATGAGACAGTGTGTGGTGATGCCATCTGTGGGGCTTCCTCCTCAGGTTGACTGAAAGAGTTCAGGCAGGAGACGCTGTCCTGAGGGCCATAGAGAGCGGTCACTTGCAGGCAGATGGCCCTGCCCTGGAGCTCGGGCACTGAGCTGGGGGCTCAGGAAGAAGTACCCTCTGGGCGTGGGGCACCAAGACCCTGGTAGAAGGTGCTGTCAGTCACACCAGATCATTTTTCAGGAGGCCCCAAAATCGAAGGGGGTCCCAGGCAGGTTCCTGCTCCCTGACGTTTCACCTCAGTGCCAGCACCTCCCGGTCCCTGAGGAGGAGGCCGCACAGGGTCCGTCACAGAAACTGCAGAGCCTCACTTCCGTAAGTACCAGTTTGTGGGGAGTGGTTTCCTTTGAGAAAATGGGACAGGCTAGTTCTCCGGTTTTCCCAGGGCCTCTTGAAGTGGCCTCAGCTCCCCGTGCAGGTGCCGTTGAGGGAGCAGAGGGCTTCGCAGAGCCATCTGTGGCCCCGCGTCCACGCGGCCAGCATGAGGTGGCCTGCCCTGGTGCAGCCGGCACCCTCCAGAGCATCTGCTGCTGCCCACTCGTGGCAGTGTGCCAGGTCGGAGCGCTGGTCAGCTTCATACTCTGTTTCCAGGGGAGTTGCTGATACATTAGTGGGAGACGTGGGGGTGCCTGCTTGGGGATCCCCTGAGATGGAAGGTTCCTGATGAGTTTAGGGACTGACTTTCCTGTGCTGTGTTGCTTTATGGACAGGATCTGAGTCACTGGGCTGCCCACACCGGGCCGTTCTTGGGAAAGGTGGTGGGTGGCCCGGAGTGGCCCTGCCTGTGTGGGGTGAGCACAGGCCTCAGGCCCTGCCACCCTCCCTCAGGCCCTCAGGGTGATGTGACGATGGGCAAAACGTTCAGGATGTCCCTGGACATGACGCTGTGTCTCACGTGGGTTTGGGGCAGAGATAGGTTGGGCCGTTGGTGTCCACGAATTGGGACCCTGGTCAAGAAAGGCTGGCGGGCAGGATGGGAGCTCAGGAAGCAGTGCCCAGCTCAGCAGCTGCCAGGCTCCCCTCCCTGACCAGCGGGGATGGGCTCAGCAGCGGTCAGTCTCCCCTCCCTGACCAGTGGGAATGGGCTCCGGGAAACCTGAGTGTGCAGGTCGCATTTGGTGCAGCTGGCACACACACGTAGGTAGATTTGATTGCAAGTTAAATTGACTTTGTACTTCTCAATTCATTTTTTGCTGATTTTAGCACAACAAAAGCAGCCTGGGGGCTGTGATTTGGGGAGAAACTGCCCAGCGCATCTGCTCAGGGCCTCACCCTGCTGCTGTTCCCTCCGTGGCCTCTGGGGTCCTCCCTGTGCCTGGCAGGCCACACACTGAGTGTCTTTCCTGTGGGGCTTATTTTTCTAGTTTTCATTACTGTGTTTTCATTCCGACGAGTGGTGCTATTTATACTTCCTGCAGCCCCTGGGAGACGTGTGTGGCTTCTCCACGGCAGGGACTGCCGTCTTGTTTCTGCCCGCAGGGAACACGCGTCTGTCCGGATCCAGTGTGTGCTTCAGGCTTTGCCTAGGGTGTGGACATTTAACCACGTGGAAGGTCCCCGTGCAGCTGGACTGGGGAAGCAGCCAGACCTGCTCTGCCCTGTAGGGGCTGGTGAGGGCCCCGGCAACCTGGGGGCACTGGCAGGACGGGAGCTGTCTTGGTGATGGATGTGTCCACAGCAGAAATGTGGGCCAAACTCAGCCCAGCTTAAGAGGAGTTCCTAGACCATGAGATGCCCCAAGGGTCTGTGCACCCAGCCCAGCAGGGAGGCGAGGGTGTGTGGTGGGTGATGGTTCAGTGGAGGGTTGGTGGGTGCAACCTTCCCGCTGATGAACCACCAGGCGTTCCGGCCAGCGCCGGTCCGTGGTGCAGCATCCTGCCCTGCCCTCACCATCCCTGGCTCCGGGAGGCTTGTCCTCCCTGGTGTGGTGCTTTGCTAAATCTCCGCCCTCCCTCCATCTTCCACAACAGAACAGTGCTGAGGCTCTGCTAGGCGAGATCACTGCCTTGTCCTGACTCACTGGCCCAGGACCATCCCTGGCAGGCACTTGAGGGGTGCCAGCAGCCCGGGGCCCGGGGCTCAAAGTCCTGTGGGGTCTGGGGAGAGGCAAGGGCCCAGGCACTGATTCTCTGAGTGCTGGCAAAGGGCCTGTGGTGTCCCCTGGTGTCTGGGAATTGATGGAGGATCAAAAGCATTAGACTTAACCAAGAAAGTCATGGTTAGGGTTAAACTCATGTCAGCTGAAAATTGCCTGAATTAAAACTGAACAAACGTGCCTCAACTCGAAAGAAAAGAGCAGACATTCAGGATAACACACTGCGAAGAACCCTGAAGAGTGGCCCTTCTGAGACATCAGCTGCCCCCCGGGCTGGCGTGGAGGATGGCGGGAGTTGTCTGCAGGCTGGGTGCCATGTGGACTTGTCTTGGATGCCATGATTTTTTAATATATATATAATTATTGTTTTTATTTTTTATTTTTTGAGACACTCGCTCTCTGAGGCTGGAGTGTAGTGATGTGATCTTGGCTCCTGGCAGTCGCCACCTCCTGGGTTCAAAGTTCAAGTGATTCTCGTGCCTCAGCCTCCGGAGTAGCTGGAATCACAGGTGTCTGCCACCACGCCCGGCTAACTTTTGTATTTTTAGTACAGAGGACAGGGTTTCTCCATCTTTTTTTTTTTTTTTTTGAGACAGAGTCTTGCTCTTGTCACCCAGGCTGTAGTATAATGGTGCGATCTTGGCTCACTGAAACCTCTGCCTCCCGGGTCCAAGCTGTTCTCCTGCTCAGCCTCCTGAATAGCTGGGACTACAGGAGCCGCCACCACACTCGGCTAATTTTTTTGTATTTTTAGTACAGACGGGATTTCACCATGTTAGCCAGGATGGTCTCGATCCCCTGACCTTGTGATCCACCCGCCTCGGCCTCCCAAAGTGCTGGGATTACAGGGTTGAGCCACCGCGCCCGGCCCTAATTTTTGTACTTTTGGTAGAGTCAGGGTTTTGCCATATTGGCCAGGCTGGTCTCGAACTCCTGACCTCAGGAAGCCGTCTGCCTCTGCCTCCCAAAGTGCTGGGATTGTAAGTGTGAGCCATCATGCCTGGCTGCAGCCTTTTCTTGTTTCTTTTTTTTTTTTTTTTTTTTTTTTTTGAGCTAGGTTGTCTGTTGTTTTTCTAACGCTAGAGTGCAGTGGCATGATGTCTGCTCACTGTAGCCTCAACCTCTTAGGCTCAAGTGATCCTCCCACCTCAGCCTCCCTATTAGCTGGCATTACAGGCTTATGGCCCACACCGGCTAAATTTTTTTTTTTTTTTTTTTTTTTTTTTTTTGAGACGGAGTCTGGCTCTGTCACCCAGGCTGGAGTGCAGTGGCCGGATCTCTGCTCACCGCAAGCTCCTCCTCCCGGGTTTACGCCATTCTCCTGCCTCAGCCTCCGGAGTAGCTGGGACTACAGGCGCCCGCCACCTCGCCTGGTTAGTTTTTTGTACTTTTTAGTAGAGACGGGGTTTCACCGTGTTAGCCAGGATGGTCTCGATCTCCTGACCTCGTGATCCGCCCGTCTCGGCCTCCCAAAGTGCTGGGATTACAGGCTTGAGCCACCGCGCCCGGCATAAATTTTTATTTTGATTTTTTATTTATTTATTTTTCTGAGAGTCTCTGTCACCCAGGCTGGAGCGCAGTGGCACGATCTCTACTCACTGCAACCTCTGCCTCCCCGGTTCAAGTCATTCTCCTGCCTCAGCCCTCGAATAGCTGGAATTACAGGTGCGCACCACCATGCCCAGCTAATTTTTGTATTTTTAGTAGAAATGGGGTTTCTCCATGGTGGCCAGGCTGGTAATTTTTTATTTTTTGTAGAGGCAGGATTTCTCTGTTGCTCTGTGTGGACAGGAAGCTTAGTTTGTTTCTCTGATGGTTAGTCCCCCGCAGAATTTTAACACAATTCGGTATTGAGGACACTTTCTGTTGCGTGAGACAATATTCCAGATCTCTCTGGGTCCTTCCTGGATTCAAGGGATCCTCCTGCCTTGGCCTCCCGAGTAGCTGGGACCACAGGTGTGCGTCACAGCCCAAGGTCTCTAGCACAAGCCTTGTTCTCCCATCCCCAGACTCGGGAGACCGTGCAGCCACACACCGGGGGAGGGTTCCAGACGTCACGGTGGGGCGGGAGTGACACCACGGGGGCAGGGAGGGCCAGGACGTTGCTCACGCTGGCTGGTGGCCCCTTGGCATTGGCCACACACACTCTACCCACGGGAATCTCACTCAAGGGTCTGATGGGCCAGCTTCTGTCTCTGCCACCGTCCAGAGGCCTCTGGGTGAGTGGGAGGCCGCAACCCTGGCAGAGCCGCCCCTGTGCGTGGCCGCTTGTCCTTTCTCACTGCGGTCCACGTGGAAGCCAGGGCAGAGGAGGGGCCTGCCCACTGCACCCCCCGCCCCCAGCAACCCCCCACCGTGGCTGCCACATCTCGCTTCTGGACAATTTTCTTGGCCCATCCCTGAGAGTTTGTTTCTTTTTTTTTTCTTTTTTTTTTTTTTTTGAGACGGAGTCTCGCTCTGTTGCCCAGGCTGGAGGGCCGTGGCGCCATCTCAGCTCACTGCAAGCTCTGCCTCCCGGGTTTACGCCATTCTCCTGCCTCAGCCTCCCGAGTAGCTGGGACTACAGGCGCCCGCCACCACGCCCGGCTAGTTTTTTTTGTATTTTTAGTAGAGGCGGGGTTTCACCGTGTTAGCCAGGATGGTCTCGATCTCCTGACCTCGTGATCTGCCCATCTTGGCCTCCCAAAGTGCTGGGATTACAGGCTCGAGCCACCACACCCAGCCCTCTTTTTTTTTTTGAGACAGAGTCTTGCTCCTGTCTCTCAGGCCGGAGTGCAGGGGTGCGATTCTCCTGCCTCGGCCTCCAGAGTAGCTGGGACTAAGGCGCCTGCCACCATGCCCGGCTAATTTTTTATTTTTGGTGGAGACGGGGTTTCACCATATTGGCCAGGCTGGTCTTGAACTCCTGACCTTGTCATCCGCCTGCCTCGGCCTCCCAAAGTGCTGTGATTACAGGTGTGAGCCACCGTGCCCAGCTGGGAGTTTATTTCTTAGATGTATGTTAACTTCAGCTGAGGCTCCTGTGTGCCTCTGTTTCATCGCCTTTGAGCGTCGGCCATCCTTTACTGAACGTGGTCCCTGAAGCTGCAGGGACTGTGCAGGGCCAGGTGTTCAGGCCAAGTGTCCAGCGGGGGCAGCTGATTCTAGGCATAGCAGGTCCTCTTCGCCTGCCCTGCCCTGGACCCTCTCTTGGCCCACTTTTCTGGGTAAATTTCAGGCCCCCATGGCCAGTTGGGGCCCTAGTGTGGGTCAGGCCCTCAGCCTGGTGCTGCCTTCGGCCCGGGCTGATTCTTTCGTTTCTCCCTTTGTGGGTTCACTGTTGAACGCTTTGCGTCAGTGGGACTTCTGCTGCGGGGCCTGGATGGTGCAGGTGTCGTCGGGAAGATGGGACAGGTTTCCGTTCTGATGGCGCCTCTCTCCCCTTCCTCCCGCCCGGCAGTACTTAGGTTCTTCCTTCAGAAAGGATTTACCATGACTTGAAGAGCAGGCTCTCACACGCAGGCCGGGAACCTGCTCAGCCTCCCCGTGGCCATGAGTCTGTCTATTGAAGGCCCCGCCTCGCCCGCCAGCGGCTCCTGTCCTCCCGCCTTGCTCTGAGCCTTTGCCTCGTGGGCACTCACTGGCCCCGTGGGTTTGCTGCTGGAGTTCAGGTGGGACCTCGCGTCCCTGTGAGCTCATGGTTCTTGCTCTTGCTTTTGTAGCCCAGGCTGGAGTACAGTGTCGCAGTCTCAGCTCACTGCAAGTTCTGCCTCCCAGGTTCAAGCTTCTCCTGCCTCAGCCTCCTGAATAGCTGGGATTACAGGTGCGTGCCACCACGCCCGGCTAATTTTGTACTTTTGGTAGAGACAGGGTTTTACCATACTGGCCAGGCTGGTCTCAACCTCCTGACCGCCTTGGCCTCCCAAAGTGCTGGGATCACAGGCGTGAGCCACTGCACCCGGCCCGGCCTTTTTTTTGTTGTTGTTGTTGTTTTCCACAGGGAGTCTCACTCTGTCGCCCAGGCTGGAGTGCAGTGGTGTGATCTCGGCTCACTGCAACCTTCGCTGCTCAGGTTCAAGCAATTCTCATGCCTCAGCCTCCCAAGTAGCTGTAGCTGAGATTATAGGTGTGCGCAACCCCACCGGCCTAATTTTTGCATTTTTAGTAAAGATGGGGTTTCACCATATTGGCCAGGCTGGTCTCGAACTCCTGGACCTCAGGTGATCCATCTACCTTGGCCTCTCAATGTGCTGGGATTACAGGCTTGAGCCACCGTGCCCGGCCTCGAGCTCTTCTTTCCGCAGACTTTGATTCTCAGCGGCTAAAGGACTAAGTTCCCCTGGAGATGGACCCGGGTGTCGTAACTGCTTCCAGGGGCCTCAGGGACACAGGTGGGACCCCGATGTGCAGGAAGAGACGCACATCAGGGCTGGGTGGGTGACTCCCACGCTGTGGGACCCCGATGTGCACGTTGGGGGTGGGTGACTTCCACACTGCTGACAGTGACAGGAACCAAGGATGCAGCTCGGGGTCAGATGCCTTTTCAAGTTAAACCTTAGATCAACCACTTCAGTGTGTTACAGAAACTGTTTTTGCTGCCCAGGAAGGCGAAGTCCGTTGAGTTCACTCGGAATTCCTGAGTCAGCCAGGCTGTTTCTCTGAAAGTGGTTGCTTGTCCCCGACCACCTGGAATGGCTCAGACCACGGAGCTCATCTTTGGGGACCCAGTCTCTCTTTTTGGGGCAGTGAGCGCCTTTCCTTGGGAACCCCTGAGGCCAGGCATGGCCACTGTGAATGGTGGGAGGGTGCTCCACCCTGAGGACCCCAGAGGCTCCTGTGGCCCCTTCCTGGGACTGCTGGGGCCTGTGTGTGTCCGCGTTCGCCCGAGGCCCCTTCTCAGCTGGGCTGGATGCCGAGTGCCTTCAGGCCTCATCCTACCCTCCACCGTCCTGTAGGCAGTGAGGCTATAGCATCTCCCTCCTGGACTGTCTTGCCCTGTTGGTCTTTATATCAGTGTTTTCCAGCCCGATTGCTGCTGAAGCTTCATTTCTTTTTCTTTTTGAGACAGAGTCTTGCTCTGTTACCCAGGCTGGAGTGCGGTGTCACAATCTCGGCTCACCGCAGCCTCGGCCTCCCGAGTAGCTGGGACCACAGGCATGTGTCACCACGTCTGTCTAATCTTTGTGTTTTTAGTAGAGACGGGGTTTCTCCATGTTGGCCAGGCTGGTCTCGAACTCCTCGACCTCAGGTGATCCGCCCACCTCGGCCTCCCAAAGTGCTGGGATCACAAGTGTGAGCCACCGCGCCCAGCCTGAAGCTTCCTTTCTTTGGGTTTTCCAGTGTTCTTGACTGTTATAGCTGAGCTAGACTTGGGACTTGGTTTCTGGGTTTGCTTTGCCTCTGCTGAGGGCTGAGGTTTCAGAGC